ATGAAGCAACGTAAAATATAGGTAATATATACTGAACAGTACTGTATGTAATTAGACTATATAGCTGTGTATGTATGTGATCTGTCTCATTGCATTTCAGAGAGAAACAGTGTAACAGTAAGATCAAGGGGTTTATCCTGTGGCCTGTTCTGTTCTTCTTGTCATCTTAAAGATTTAGTTTGGAGCTGGGTGATCATCTTAAGGTCTCTATGAAGATCTGTATGGCTACTGTGTCCAAATTGGCAATAGCTTCATTGCTTGTGTGAAGCTTTGTACTGAAAGACAAAAACCGAAACGGCTTAGTAAAGGTATTTGCCTCCAAATGTCAGCCTCACTGGACTCTCTCTGAAAAGCAGTCTCATCCTCCAGCATATGGACTTGCCCTCACCGTTCTGGTGTTGTCCACTCCCTGCTGAGACAGCTTTGTCCCATCATATAGGTTGCTAATAACACCATTAAACAGCATTGATCCCAGCATCCATCCCTTAGGGATGCTACTGGTAATGGACCATGAGTTGGAATTTGTTCTACTGATCAGTCCCAGCCAGTTTTCTGCCCACTTTATTTCTTAGTTCTGCCCATTCTGAATTTTCTTCTTGATTTTTTTCCCCCCTCCTTTGATCCAAATGAACTCTTTCTACAGGAATCTCAGTGTTTAGAGCTGGATCAGCAAAGAATTGGTCACTCCATTGATTTTAAAGGGGTTTTGCAAAATTTTATATATGCAAATAATAATAACAATTATTGCCCCTAACAATGTGACCAGCAAGGGAATTCTCTATTATTATTTTTAGGTTTCTCTGTCCTCTGCAGATGCTACTTTAATGCAAATCAAACTTTGTGGATTGTGTTACCTATTGAAAAATAGTTTCAATTAGAAATTCAATTACACTGTCTTGGGGGGATGGAACTGACAGTTTCTTTGAATTTTGCATGTTATAGAGGGCTCCAAAGTGCCATAAATCTGCTAATTGATTTCTGTACCTGTAATGTTTGATTAGGTGTATTTTATTGTCTTCTTGGTTTTAATTAACCCCAGGCTTGTCAAAATGCTTCCACTGACAAAGGATATATGATGAACTGAGATAAACTCTATTAACAGAGGCTGACTTTTGTCAGTAATTGCTATAATGCATAAGAGTTATTAGAAATTATCACACACAAAAAGAAACTATACTTTTGGTAACAACTTTTATGGGCTGCTATAAATCTGTTGACTGCCCCCTACATGCAAGAGATAAGCAACTGTGAATGACAAGGGGTCTGAAGGAAAATCAATCATTTGCTAGATGTCTTATAAATATTAAGAGTGACAAAATGAGGAGAGTTATGAAGTCTAAGTGCTGAAAATTGAATGGATGCTAATGTGCCTAAACTTGTACCCATTACAGATTGGGAAGGCTGTTGAGACAAGGATATGACTACCTCAGGAAGGTCTTGGTTTTACTGAAGCAGAACATGTTACCTTGGCTGTGGATCTCTGAAAGACTAAAGTGATACTGAGTCTTTGGCTTCTAGGTCCTTGGTTGGAGTCCAGGTCTGGGCTCTTACCACTTGGCTGTCCATGGCTTCAGAGGTCAGGCCCAACAGGGTCACATCACTAGCGTTTGAGGACAGAGGCAATCAGAAGTAATGGCTTGATGGGCTGATGATAGTTGAGACATTTTTGCTGAGAACAGAGGTACTTGGTGATGCTGTTTATATGGTCTGGTGTTAGAAATGTTCTATCTAGTAGTAACAGACAAACCATCTCTTAAAACAGGAAAGAAGAGTTAATATCTTCATTTTTACTGGTGTCTCCACCTTTAAGGACTTGGCTTATGTAAGATCTTTAGATAGCAACGTATGCACAGACTTCTGCATATGTTTCTATAAGTAAATTTCACTGAACTGCAACTTCATAGTTTGCAGATCTGTCCTTGTTTGCTCTCTGGGCCCTATGTTTGTCTGCAGCTCTGTATGTGTTGATGCAGGTATAGTCCTGTGAACAAAACTGATATAATATTGTGTGTATTAGCAGAGCAGTAATTAAGCCATACAAAGTTGTAAAAGTATAAGACAAGCTTTCTGCAACACAGTTGTTAAATTTGATATGACTATTTCCTAGAAACTCCACACAACCTTATGTTTTATATTGGTAAGGCAAAGTTTGTAAATGCCTTTTTTTAATTCTTGGTTTTGGTTGTTTTGTTTTTTTTTATTTTTAAATTATGTGTGGGGAGTACATATGAACCTCAGGAGCTGCAGAGACCTGTTCTCTTATTTTCTGACAATTTCTGTCCAAGCTTTGGACACTCTTGGCTGCTGCAATTTTAAAGTTGCCTATCAAATCTTCTGTCTTACTCAAAAATAGTTAATTTCAGTTAGACATTATTTTTTAATCCACAGCTGAAATAATATTTTATACTGACCTTCATTTCCTTTGCTGCTTTTTGTAAGAATTGTCATAATGGCTCAACGGTACAGCTCCATGAGTGTGCATGGAGAATGAGTGGAGCCTTCGCATGTAGAGGTTACATGCAGTCCTAGAAACTGATTGATCTAGTTATTAGGATATTTAGCTTATTATTAACATTTTTTTTGAGCTCTAAGACATCTCTGGAGCTTGGAGGTGTGAAATTCGCAATTTGTTTTAGTTTAGCCCAAAACAGATCTTCAAATGCTTGGGGCTTTCTGGAGCAGGGCACTGGGCACCATAGTGTTTGAAGTGGCTCTACTGCTGTGTGTGGGTATGCTGGGGTGGAGCGGCACAGCTGGTACCAGGGAAGCACTATCATGGGCACATGCATCTTTCAGTTGCCAGCAAGAGAAAAACATTTGGCCTGTTGATCCTCACTTATGAGCCATTGTTCTTGAATCCCAGTTCTTGTGGAACATTCCCATACAGGACATAGAGGGAAGGTATTCTGTAGCATGCTAGGTTCCTAAGGACCATGTGTCTTTCAGCAAGTTGCTAGGGTGAGAACTGTCACTAGTTTCTACAGCCCAGCAGAGGACCTTGGTGCTAAACCCCTGGTGATGGTATAGGTGGGATTGCCTGTGGGATTCTTCTCTCTCAGCTGCTGTGAGAGTAAGGAATTCTAGTAGCTGAGTTGTGACCTGGCTTGATGTTTTGTGGACTATCAGAAAAGTCTAGACATCCCATAACTTCTGCTGGGGCAATGTGAATTGAGACCAGCACTGGAGAGGGGTGCAGAGTGTTAAAGATGCCCTATATTAAAGAGCTGAGACAAACCTTTTAGGCTTGATATATTGCAAATGATTCTGTTGGCTGGACAGTTCAAGCTGGCTTGGTGTATGTGGTATCAGAGTGTTGCATCATGGTATTGCAATTATCCTACCACACTTGTACTTCTACCAGATTTTAAGGAGCAGTTGCTATGTTTAGTAGCTGAGCCTTTCTTTTTGTTTGTCTTGGTTACATAGCTCTGTTTAAGAGTTTCCATGCAAGTCTCGTGTGTGAGAATGCACATATATCTATATTCCCTCTTGGGTGTGCTGAAAACAATCCATTTAGAAACCAGGTGTCCTTGTCTTTCTTGGCATCTGGTTAAATATCAGCCAAGCAGGAGAAGGTAAATCCTAGGATGCCTTAACAACTGCTGGGTCTGTGAAGCCGTCGGCTTCATCTGATGGGATTTGAAGGTCATGGTGGTTGCCCACATGTGAAAGATGTGTCCTTATTCCCCTCAGATAAAACAGCCCAAAATGATCAATCTTAAGGTCTCTAAACTAAGCTAGGAAGAGACTTGTGCATTTCAGTCTGCTGAGACCAGAGGTCGCTGTTGAACTGGAAATGGAGACACCCTTGCTTTTCCCCAGCCACCTTCTCTTTATTTTGTCCAGTGCTTAACCTGCTCTGTAACAGCTTAGGCTTCTTTTTCCTTACGAAAAGACTGTGCTCTCAAAAGCAAAGCACAGCACTAGACTTCTGAGTATAAGGGACTGAATAGATACATCTAGAGGAGAAAGTAGGATAGTGAGGCTGAGCTCTGTTTCTCTGCAGTTCACTCTTGCCTCACACACCTACCAGTATGTCCTGCAGATACCTCTCTTAATCTGCAGCTCTTCCATTCATTCCTGATCCCTGGTGTAGTCTTGTTGTTTATAGCAGACATTTCTTCTTTTAGCCATGGTGGCTGTCTGTAAAAAGAGAAACGTATACAGTGATGAGCAGCAGAGTAGCAGCCAAGGCAGTGTGACCGTGATGGTGTAAGGATGAGAGGAGCACGAATTTGTAGGAAGTATGATTTCTCTTCTGTCTGCAGGTCTGGAGGAATGAAACTGGTCAGAACTAGACACACCTTTGGGTAATATGGCTATCCTGAAAATGAGCAGCTGTTGGAGGGGAGCACATACAGGCACAGTGGTCCGTGTTTGTGTTCACGTGGCCATACAGTATTTTCTAACTCTGGGGTATGGGCTGCCTCCTTCACACAATTGAACTGAACTGACTGTGTGTGAGGAAGAGATTTAGCGAGGCTCAGAAACCTTGCATATGGACTCTGAAAGTGAGTCTATCTCAGTCATACTCTGCTGGAACAGCAGCATGTCAGGCATGCCTTGTCACATGGACAAGCGGTGGTTGTGTAGGTCCTGGTTAAAACTTGGACTGAGTAGTAGCACTGCAGGGAAAGATATTTTGAAGCTCATTGAGCCCCTTTTGGCTGTACTGGAGGTTAAACTACTGCTGCACTCTTTCAGATGGGTATCATCCACTTCTGGGTAGGCCTTGGGCAGGAGACATATTGCTGCCTCTTTGTACCCCAAGGCTGAACCACTGAGCGCAGCTGATCCTGAGCTGGCTGTGAGCCTGTCTGCACCAAGTCAATTCCCAGACAAGGAGAGCTGGCTGAAAATGCTCAGTTCCTTGTATGAATCTCTGTAAAATCCCATAGGTCATAATATCGTGCAAGCTGCACAGGTGAGTTAGCATCTTATGTTAGCATTCCTTACTGCTTGAAAACACCTTGGCTTTTAACTTCATTACTTTTCTCTAGAGAAAAAGCAAATGAGAGCTTCCTTCAGAGATGATGAACACTTGTGCCTTTCTGCAGGAGAATGGTCAGGAATGCCCGGAATTCAAAAGATGAGACATCTATGGCAGCAAGAGCCTGGGAAGCAAACAAACTGTGCTTCACATCACTCCAGTAATTCAGTATTCACAGCAGACTGAGATCCAGCAGTATGTTCTCAATTGGTTTATTACAGTCAATACTTATTATTAATAGATATGAAACAGACAAGATCTGGGCCTTTTGATGTTGTGAATCGATATAGATCTGTTCACTCCCTGAAACTCCAGGCTATTCTTAGCAGAGCCACAAATCCTTAATTAAAACTTGAGTCTTTTGCCCAGACCTGTAAACTTTATGGATACCTTTGTCTTGGCAGAAACAGGTCTTTCATTAGTCCTGCTACTCCAGTATGCATAGGCAATAAGCCATCCAGCAGAAGGCACTATTTGGCTAGAAAGATTAGTGTGGTGTGGTTATTTTGGCAAATGCTGTGCAGGTAGCCAGTACAGTCACAGCAGCATAGCTGTCACATTGAGCATTGCCTGGTTATGTTTGGACTTGAACTGTGCTGCTCTTCCCTTGGGAGCAGAACTCTGCATTCGAAGCTGTGGGAGTGTATGAAACACTATAGTGTCTAAGTAACTTGCAACATCCTGTAATGTTACTACACAAAAGGTCTGAGTTAATGATCCAGTCGATTTACAAGTCAACTGTGTGACAATAGAAATTAATATTCATTGATGAGCCAATCTGAAAAGCCTTGATTTTTATTATTTTTTTTTACCTCTCTAATAGTTTTGTGTCAAATCTTAGGTGAGTTTATATACTGGTGTATGGATCAGAGGGTACCTGGGGATAAGAAGCATTTAATTAACTTTTTTTCTACCCTGGAAAATACAGTTCAAGATATGTTGTCTGAAACTGCTCAGGTAGAGTGCCATTCTAAAATATCCTTCTAGTACCAGAATGAGTAGATGGAAAAGGAGATTCCTGATCAAATGTGGCTTCATTTAGGGGGCAAAATGTAAGTAGCTGAGGCCAGATTCTGCTCTCTTTTTCTTCTGATTTATACGCAGTTAAGCTTGCACCATTGTAAAATCACAGTGAGAAAAAACCCTGTGGTATAGGGGCAGAAGGTTGAACTTTAACTGACGTGTAGTTAAAAACAGGCTTGCTGAGTGAAAGATGCTGGCTGTAGCAAGTTTCCTCCCTGCAGCAGAAGGCTACATGGATGGGACTTCTGTCTAGCATGTTGGTAGTCAGAAGTGGCTACTTAAACTCTGTTTATCCCAAAGAGCCATAGTGTCAGTCACCTGCCCAATACAGAGGTGGGTGTTGGTTGGCTGAGAGCAGTTCCTTGACACCTTTGGACAACTCTGCTTTTGTTTCGGGCTTCTTCCTTTTTTTCTTTTTCTTTCCAACCCCCCCCCCCTTCCTCAGATTGAGCTGAGCTGAACTGACTGATGTCCTATGCTGTGCCTGAAGCAAGAGGTTGCATGAACAGTTCCTCATCAACCCTGGGACCAACCCATGTGTGAGATAAGGACCTCCAGGGATGCACGATCTTTCCTCCCTCCCTGCTGAACATATCTTTTTCTCAGAGAAAACAAGCAGATGAACTTGTCTGATCTTTGTTCTGTTGTTCAACATTAGCAGGGACTGGGTGAAGATAACTTCTCAAAGGGGCATATGATATAGAGCTCCTGGACCTGCTTTTTGCTCTCCAAGACCCAGTAAGTTCTGTAGCATCGTCAGACTGTCCCTGTCTTGTAGCTTCTCTCTTGCAGAGCCAGTACGTAACAAAACTCCTCTAATAGCCTTTACGGTCTTAACCCAATTTCCTTTAAAACTGCTGTATGTTGTGAGCTTTGAGAGGGATTAAGAACTTCAGAAGGCTGCTCATTAATATACCACAGAAAGGAGGGATTGTGGCATTCGGAGTGCCTGCAGGCAAGCAATAGAAAATCCTATCACTTGTTTTGGGGCAGAAAAAATTCATGCCTTTATCAAACTTAAGACTGCCTCCTTCAGCAAGAATTTTTTTAATTGGAGAAAATGCGAGGGAAGCCTAACTTGCTGTTTTGTTGTCGTATTGGCGGGTGCTCTGAGAAGTTTGTAAAACTTGTGAAGAAATGATATTGTGCAGAGAAGAACTAGATGCTGCAGAGATGAGGCTGAGTATCCTTCTGAGTAACTGCTTCCCTCCATATCAGCATGAGATCTATCCTGGCTGTTAGGGAGACTTTTGCAGGGTGCTAAACCAGCCAGGTGCTGTCTTCTGGACTGCTAGGTCACAGGCATCCTCCCATCAGCCACACTAGGAAGTTGGTGATCTCGGATTTAGTCTTGGAGGACCTAAATATAATAGGCTCAACTTTTTCAGGATTTGGAAAGTAGTGATGCAATCCATTGGCTGTCATGGAGTGGGACACCCTTCTTTCTGGATGGCTCAGTGCTAATGTGTGCTAGTCCTCAGTACTGATCAGCTTGTTGAGGCTCTGGTGACTGCCATCTGGAGCTAAGTCCTGCCTGGATCAGGACAAGGAGCAGTTCCCTATGGCCAGAATGCCTCCATATGGGTGAGAAAGAAGAGTCTGTCTGTAGCTATGGTAGATTTTGTGCAATAAAGCTGAGTACCAGAAGGTGGCCATTTCTTATGCATGTGTGGATCATCTGTCCACAGTGCACAAACAGATTAAAACTGGAAGTATTTTTCACCTAGAACACCTAATCTTTGATTCCGTGGGTTTTGTAGCCCTGTGCAAGGAGTGTTATATCACAGCACTAATGAGTGTGATAGACACTGTCTCCTGATTTGGAGGTCTACAATTGAGTTTATTCTGCATTTGGAGAGTTCCTGAGATCCTTTGTTGCGAGCTGTGTTTGAAGGACCAAGTGCAGTGATAGAAACAGCTCTAAGAAGCAGGATCCAGAGGTCAGTTAGTGAATGAGCAGGGATAAGAAAATGAAGGTTGAAAACCAGTCAAAGATATTTACAGCCTGCATGGCCTTCCCTCTCCTGATGCTTTATTTTTAATGGCTTGTTGCTTTTACCTCTCTTTGTTTAATGAATATATTGCTGAGTTATTGGAAGTGCAAACTGCATCCAGAAGCAGGACGCTCAGGGTTTATTATATTCATACAACTCAAAAACAGCCAAATTGATTCCCCCCCCTTCATCTTTAAATTTTGCAGTGTGTTTACAGGTAGTGACAGATGTGAGACTGACAGCACTGGAGACACAGAAGCTGTGTTTAGGTAATGACCCCAGCAGTGAGTGGGGAGAGCACCTCTCTTTGCCTGATGCTTACTCCTTCTCCAGACACCTCTCCTTGTGGCTTGGGGCAGATACAGTCCTTGGCTGCTTGGTTGATATGCTGGTCTCCACTGCTGCTGGAATGGCTTTGAGAAGCTGGGCCTATCTTTTTCATCCAGTTACCAGCCACTTTCATGCCAGTGTGATCATCTGCTCTCATATAACCAGACAGCTGAGGTAGTAGGCATTCTCAGCACAGAGTATGAACTTGCAGTTCTGCAAAGGCAGCTGGACTTGAACCACTGAGGGTGACTTCAGCTTCCCTTGCTGCGGGAGATGAGTGGCTTGTGGGAAGAAACATAAGCAATGGTTGCTTGGGGTGGTCTTCTTATTTAAGCATCTCTGGGAGTTTCCACTGATTGTCAGGCTCACTACACATAATCCTTTCTGTAAGTGGCAGAGAAAATACGTGGTGGTTTCTACCTTCTTTAGGGCAGCCTGCATAGACCTGTAGTCTGCCTGCCCCCTCCTTGGGGTGTTCTCCTCTTACTAGTGCAGAGGTGGACATGGCAGCAAAGCGTAGGGCGGTTCTTGGAGCCATGCTAGCTACTGGGCCCTGGGACTTTGTCCTGCAACTACCTCACCTGTCTGACAGGAGTGTAGTACCAGTGGGCTTCAAAGGCACCCCTGTCTTCACAGGATGGCAAAGGGGCAGATGAGAAAACCAGGAGGTAGGGAGATCTCTGCTCCTGAACAAAAAATAAAGGACTCAGTATGAAACAGCAATCGGTTTTCATCTCAGCCCTGGTTAATGAGGGCATTTTGATCTACAATTGTTGACTGCAGAAAGAGCCTCCCTGATAAAGAGGGAAGGGATGTCCTAGGGGAGAGGGTCGCTGAATATGCATGGCCCTGAGTCTCTTTGTTTAGCTGATATCTGACTATATTTATTCTTCTAGATTACACATTCTGACTGCGGAACAAAGGGCTGGCAGGAGCTGCTCTCTTGTGCTTAATAATTTGAGTAAATTTACATTTCAATGCAGCCCTCTGCAACTTCCCACCCCCCATGGAAAGAGCAGAATTTCTCTGTTGTGGGGAGGGGGAAAAGAAACTACTACCCCAGCGGCCAGGCTGGGAGATTTATGGCTATTCCTCTCCGAATTTATTCGTCATGAACCCTGCATGTGTGCCCACCTGCCTGATGCAGAGGTGTTTTCTTCCCTGATCCCTTTCTACATGACTTGCTCAGATAACACAGTTTGCCCCACCTCCCTGCTGAGCAGTGTGAATCATTGTCAAGTAATTAACCATCAGCAGTACAGAAAGTACCTGGCTAGGCAGAAGTGTGAAAACACATCTACACCTAATGGGAACTGGACTAGAAGATTTCCAGTTTGAGTGACACCCAGAGAGCTGCAAAGTGACAAAACCACAGAGTTAGCTATTGCCAAAACTCCCCAGAGGTGGTCTGGTTTCTATGTAACATTCTTTTCACTCTACTTTGAGGCCTGAGAGTGCAAGAAGTCTTTTGCTGAGTCAGTCATGGGGGATTTAGAGGTGGCACTTTCTTACTTGTCTGTCTGCCCAGGCTTGGATCCCTGCGCATAGCAAATCATTTGACTAGTTTCATCTCTTGCTTCTGAAATGAATGTTTCTAGTTTGCATCCTGAAATCTATCTGTGAGTATTATTTTGTGTCCCTGAATAGGTTCCTGGGCCTTGTGTGCACGAGTGTCCTGTGTTGGCTGCCACTGGTGTTCACCAAGCCACAGTCCTGCAGTTTAACGTTAGGACAGCTGCATACTTTGTCTCTCACCTGCCTGATGGTAACCTTGCAGGTTCAGGTACACCGATGACCTCAGCATGCTACACTGCATTTGGGTCTCTTACCACTACTGCTCTGCATTAGCCTATTATAAAAAACATGTAATTATAGGAACAGATCCTCAATGCTATTTCTTCACTTATCTCAAGCCCCTTAAGAGATGATTGTGAGTCCCACGAGCACAGGAGTTTCCTGGGTGGGATCTGTGTATTGAGGTGTAGATCAACTAATACCTTTCCCATTAGCTATCCTGCCTAGTTCCATGTTGTCTCACATGATGCAAAATGAGATGAGCCCTCGCTGCTCTTGAGACTGAAGAAGCAGGGCATGATGGAAGGAGTAGCCTCAGACATATGTGAGTTCAGCAGCAGCCACTTTTAGAAGCTCATGATATCTGCACTAGCTCCTTTGGGCAGCTAGAGAACATGTAGTCTTGTCTTTAATACTTTCCTTGCCAACCTTTTCCTTCTTTTCTAATCTGTATGAAGACCTGTGTGTGGGAGATGCGAGTTCTTGAGCTGAGCTGCAGAGTGCTTCCATACGCAAGGAAAACCTGTTTCTAGCCAGCTCTAGATATGTCATCAGTGGCCTTTAATACATTCAGTTCAAGCCTTCGTCCCAACCTAAACTGCAGAAGAACTTAGAAATGGGTTTTATAGCACTTCTATATACATTGAAATGTATCAGTCTTTCTGTGCCTGTGCTTCCCTATGCTGCTTAGAGTAACAGGGCTGAATCCTTGGCTCTGCAGAAAGCAGTGCAATGATCCTAACCTAACCAGTGCTTATAAAGTAAGAGCTTGTACATGTGTGATGCTGCTCTTCTTACTACTATCATTTCTAGATGTAGTTTCTAAGTATTACAGAATGCATATATAATGTCCAAGGAATGTGGGCAGAACCAGGACCTTGCACTGTGTCATACTTGAGCACAAAGGAGAGAATTTCCTGTCCTGTGGAGCTTTGGTCTAATGGGTGAAACAGTGATTTTCAGAAATCCTGCCTGAAATGCCTGCTGGAACAGGTACCTGGGTTTATTTTAGTGGATAAACAGATACATTCATGATTTGTCATTCATTTTGCATTGTATACATGCATAAATGTGGAAATGTACATATGTGTGTTCCATACCACATATATACACAATCTATAATATACATGAACACAATGCAGCATTAAATCAGGGGTTTGCACTTCTCTTAATTACCTAATTATATTGACTTTTTTTTTTACATTCTGTACAGTTTGGTTTTATCTGAACTTTACAGAAGGTGTAAGCAATACACATCTTGTCACATCCCATTTTCACACTAGCGCTGTTGCTGTATGAACCATTGCTAGAAATAAAACATGACTAGAATAGTCAGCCATCTGTCTGGAAAGCACATGCAGTCCCAGATGGCAGTTTCTCTCCCGCTCACTGGTAGCAAAGTCCTCTGTCTGAAGAACACAGCAAAAATGTGTAACAGTTCAGCAGGGAGATGTATAATGAGCAGCCCTCCCCCAGGCTGGGGCTGGGGGCCCTCCAGCGACAGAAGAGGAGGGA